TTGTATTGAGAATTTCATGCAGAAAATACATTAGCATTGAGAATTTTATGCAGCAAAGATAATAGCATTGAGAATTTCATGCAGAAAATATTATCGCTTTGAGATTTTTATGCAGAAAATTTAATCGCATTGAGTATTTCATACAGAAAAGATACTTGCATTGAGAGTTTCATGCAGAAAATATAATCGTATTAAGAATTTCATGAAGAATATATCATTGCATTGAGATGCATTGAGATTTTCATGCAGAAAATATAATCGTATTGAAAATGTTATGCAGAAAATATAATCGCATTGAGAATATCATACAGAAAATTTATTCGCATTGACATTTTCATATAGAAAATATCATCATATTGAGAATTTCATGCAGAAAATATAATCGCATTGAGATTTTTATGCAGAAAAAATAATCGCATTGTTAGTTTTATACTGAAAATATAGTCGCATTGAGAGTTTCATGCAAAAAATATAATCGCATTCAAAATTTCATGCAGAATATCATTACATTGAGATTTTCATGACGAAAATATAATCGCATTGAGAATTTCATACAGAAAATTGTTTGCATTGACATATAGAAAATATCATCGCACTGAGTATTTCATGCAAAAATATCATCGCATTGAGAATTTCATGCAGAAAAGATACTTGCATTGAGATTTTCATGCAGAAAATATAATGGCATTGAGTTTTTCTTGCAGAAAAGATACTCGCATTGAGTATTTCATGCAAAAATATCATCGCATTGAGATTTTCTTGCTGAAAATATAATCGCATTGAGATTTTTATGCAGAAAATATAATCGAATTGAGATTTTCATACAGAAAAGATAATTACACTGAGTGTTTCATGCAGAAAATATCATCGCATTGAACATCTTGTATGAAAAATTTCATCGCATTTAATATTTCGTATGAAAAACGTTATTACATTGAACATTTTTAGCTGAAACAACAATCGCATTGAGTATTTCATGCAGAAAATATCATCGCATTGGACATTTTGTATGAACAACTTCATCGCATTAAATATTTTGTATGAACAATGTATTAAATATTTTATATGAATAACTTAATCGCATTGAACATTTTTAGTAGAAAATACCATCACATTGAAGTTTTTTAATAGGAAACTTTATTGGATTGAAATTTTTTTGCAGAAATTATCAATGCATCGATCATGTATAAAAAACTTCATCACATCGAAAATTTTCTGTAAAAATATCTTTACATAGTAGTTTTATATAAAAAATTTCATCGCATTGAACTTTTTATATTGAAAACTTGATGCCATTAATTATTTTGTATGAACAACTTCTTCGCATTTATAGAAGAAATTACCATGCAATTTTACTTGAGAAAATATCATTGCATTGAAAATTTTTCATACATAATTTCATCGCATTGAGAATTTCATGAAGAAAATATCATCGCATTGAAAGTTTTATACTGGAAACTTCATCACATTGAAAATTTTCTGTAAAAAGAATATTGCATTGAGAATACTGCTTAAAAAATTTCATTGCATTGAGAATTTTATGAGAAAAATTACATAGCTTTGAATATTTTGTACGAAAAACTTCATCACATTGAACATTTTTTATTGAAAATTTCGTCTCATTGAACATTTTTTATAGAAAATATCATCGCATTGAACATTTTTTATAGAAAATATTATCGCATTGAACATTTTCTATAGAAAATATTATCGCATTGAACATTTTCTATAGATAATATTATCGCATTGAACATTTTCTATAGAAAATATTATGTCATTAAAAAGTTGGTATCGAAAACATTATAGCATTGAAAATTTTCTGCATGAAATATTACCGCATTGAGTGTTTATTATAGAAAAAATATATCGCATTGGTAATTTATTGTGGAATAATGCATCGCATTGAGCATATATTACAGAAATCTTTATAGCATTGAAAAGTTTATATAAAAAATATCTTCGTATTGAAAATTTCGAGTAAGAAACTTCATTGCATTGAGTATTTCCGACAGAAAATATTATTGCATTGAAATATTTCCGACAGAAAACTTCATCTCATTGAACATTTTATATACAAAATTTGTGTGCATTGCTTATTTTGTGTGGATAATATCATAACAGTATAAATTTAGTGTAGAAACTATAATAGAATTGACATTATTCTATAGAGAATATTGCTGTATTGAAAATATTGTATAGGAAACATTAAAGAAACATCGCATTGAATATTTTCCACAGAAAATATCATTGCATTGAAATTTTTGTACAGAAAACTTTATCTCATTGAACATGTTATATACGAAATTTATTTGCATTGATTATTTTGTGTGGATAATATCATCACAGTATAAATTTAGTGTAGAAACTATCATAGCATTGACATTATTCTATAGAGAATATTGTTGCATTGAAAACAATGTATAGAAAACATTAAGGAATTGGAGTTTTTCTATACAAAATATCATCGCATTGGAAATTTTCAACGTAAAACTTCATCGCATTGAGAATTTTGTATAGAATATGACATTGAAAATTTTACACAAACTCTCTTATTCATTATTCTTTAAACTTTTTAAGAACTCTAAATATTAGTATTTATTTCTTCATTGATTTAAGACCTGTCTAAAACAATGATTACTTGTCATGTCTTATAACAAACAAGACGCTATAACCACTTGTCTAGAAACTTTAATTGAAATACGTTTCAATTTAAAATAAACATAAAGCTCAAATTATATTTATAACTCAGCCTACTGCCTTCCGTAACAAAAACAGAAAAAGGATATTTTATTGGTTTCAAAAGTTTTCACACACTAAAGCTACCAACAAAAAGAGCGAGAGAGAGAATGTGTAAATGAATTTAATTTCCCTTAGCCAATATTGTTAATTCCCTTAGCAATAATACAATAACATCAACTACAAAGACAATAAAAAAGGTAAAACACACAAACAAAAACTAAAGCATAACTACCGACATTGCGTATAGGCCTAAAACTAAAGCATATTTTTGGGGGAGAAAAAAAAATTTTATTAAAAAGTAGAAACAAATGTCTAAATCAAATTTCAAATTCCCAGTTTACAAGAAAATCTCAAATGTTACAACTACATTTGAAGATTTTTTTATCATTTCTTTAGATTTATATATTTCTTTCCAAATAACTGAAGGTCATTTGCTTGTATTTAAACTTCTTACATAGATTTTACCCGTCTACTTCAATTAAGTTTCTTTGATTTTTTTTCAACATTCTGTTTGGCTTTTCTTGGGGAAATTTTCTTTTAAAGTTTTTCTTGTCTTCTAGGATTTTTGTTCGCTCTTGCTTTATGGAGTGTATTTTAATTTTAATGTAGACATTATGGTTTAATTTCTTTTCCAAGTTTAACGAACATTCTCGTTAGCAAGGACAGTTTTTATAGTTCAAGAACAAAAAAACACACAAAATGAATTTTCAATCATGCTGCTGTTAGCTAAGAGTTTGGTACTTTAAGGATCACCATCTTGTTTTCTTTTTGTTTTTCCTGCCATCTCTTATATAAGGACATTAAAATTTTATTTGCATAAACGAGATTTATGGTTGAATGAACTTTAAATTAATGAGAAAATTGGAAAAAACATAAAAAATACACAAAATTTCTATTTAACATTGGGAGGATGAAATGTTGGAAAAAAACGGAAGCGGATAGAAATAAAATGTAAAATCAATTGTTCGATTAAAATTTGAGTTGATGTTAAAACATGACTAGAGATTTTTTTGGTGATTAAATTTGTGGGAGTAGTCAGATAAAAGATATTAAATAAGTTTTTGTTTAAAATCAAATAATTTTAGTTAAATTTCATTCAAACCAGTTATTTATGATTTATTTGAATTAAGAAAATGATTTAATCAAGCAAACAATTCGTCAAATTGATTACTTCGTTTAATCATAAAAACTGTATTACTTAAGGGGACATTCTCTATGGCAACCGACACTTTTTAAGGAAGACCTTTTCTATAGGAACACTGACTTCCAAAGGAAGACTATTCTATAGGAAAACCGACTCCTTAAGGGAGACTTTTTCTATTGGAAAACAAACTTTCAAAGGAAAACTTTTTCTATAGGAAAACAGACTTCCAAAAGAACACTTTTTCTATAGGAAAACAAACTTCCAAAGAAAGACTATCTCTATAGGGGAAGACTTCGTAAGGAAGACTTTTTCTATATAAAAACACTCTTCTCCAAGAAGACTTTTTCTATAGAAAAACAGTCTTCTTAAAAAAGACTTTTTTCATAGAAAAACAGTATTTTTCAAGAAGACTTTTTCTGTAGCAAAACAGTCCTCTTCAAGAAGTCTTTTTCTATAAGGAAACTATATTCTTAACGAAAACTTCTTCTATATAAAAACAGTCTTCTTCAAGAAGACTTTTTCTATATAAAAACAGTCTTCTTCAACAAGACTTTTTCTATATAAAAACAGTCTTCTTCAAGAAGACTTTTTCTATAAAAAAAACAGTCTTCTTCAAGAAGACTTTTTCTATATAACAACGGTATTCTTCAAGAAGACTTTTTCTATATAAAAACAGTCTTCTTCAAGAAGACTTTTTCTATATAAAAACAGTCTTCTTCAAGAAGACTTTTTCTATATAAAAACAGTCTTCTTCAAGAAGACTTTTTCTATATAAAAACAGTCTTCTTCAAGAAGACTTTTTCTATATAAAAACAGTCTTCTTCAAGAAGACTTTTTCCATATAAAAACAGTCTTCTTCAAGAAGACTTTTTCCATATAAAAACAGTCTTCTTCTAGAAGACTTTTTCCATATAAAAACAGTCTTCTTCAAGAAGACTTTTTCTATATAAAAACAGTCTTCTTCAACAAGACTTTTTCTATATAAAAACAGTCTTCTTCAAAAAAACTTTTTCTATTGGAAAACAGTCTTCTTCAAAAAGAATTTTTCTATAGAAAAAGGGGGCTATTGTCGTCTTAAAATCTTAAATTAAAAATTTAATTAGAGCCCATCACTTACCTCTTCTTCATTACTAGCTGTATTAACCGAATCCATGCTTTGCGATAATCCCAATGGTGCTAAAGACATTTGATTTTCCATTGTTGACGTTGTAGTCGCTGTGGTTGTTGTCGAGTTGTTCGATGAGTTGCTGTTGTTGTTGTTCTGGTTGCAACCGTTACTATTGACTGTGGTTAGAGAGTCGTTACTTGTGGTGGCAGTTGTTGCCACTGATGTAGCTGTTGGTGTGGGTGTTGCGGTCTTTGATGAGGACGACGATGTATTCGAGTCGTTGGAATGTAGAGAATTATTGATGCTAACTGAGTTGTTGTTGTTGTTAACTGACGAGGTGGAGGAGACCAAAGAGGCGTTAGGAGATGTAGTCGATGAGGGTGTAGTGGAACTTTGTTGGTTGCTTGTGGCAGTAGGTGTTGTCACCGCTAATAACTGTTGTTGTTGTTGTTGTTGTTTGTGATGATGCTGTTGTTGTTGATGTTGCAAGTGTCTAATTTGTTGTTGCTGTTGTTGATACTGTTGATGCTGTTGGTGTTGCTGATAGATGTGTTGTTGCTGTTGCAATACCAAATGTTGCTGATGAGCAGCGTTTGCTGCCGCAGCTGCTACAGCTGCAGCGGCCTGTTGTTGTTGGTGGTGTTGCTGGTGTGTGGCTCCCTGACTAAACTGGTGATTGAGTAGAGCAGCAGCGGCTGCTGGATTTATATGTTGAGCAGCAACAGCAGCTATATTACGTTGATGTTGAGCAGCAGCAGCGGCCGCAGCTGCTGCAGCAGCCACTTGTGTCTGGTGGTGGGGATGTGAGTGGGCTGTAATGGCTGCTGTGGCAGCTAATTGAGCAGCAGCAGCTGTATTAAAGGCAAACTGTTGATGACCGGCTTTCAAGGCGACTTGATGGGCGGCGGTGGCGCTAGCGGGTGCTGTGGCGTATTGTATTTGGGGTGTTAGTTGAGCTGCTGCTGGATTGGCGGCGTTGGCTGGTATAACCGATACAGCTGCGGCACACTGTCGTTTGGGTGACAACACCTGTGGGGCACTCGCTGGCGTTTGCGGCAGCGTTGGCCTGCGTTTAATCGCAATCGACGAAATGGTGATGGCTTTTTCGTACACGTTTGTCTGGGGGGGAGTGATTTTGGGGCTGTTGTAGATACACGTTTAATAAATTTTCTTTTTTAACAGCTGTGGTAGCTTTTTTTTGGTGAGTCTATTAGCCAAGACAGGTTTGTGGGTGGCTTTTTTGAATTTTCTACTTTCTACAACAAGCTGCCAATCATGGAGTGGTTTATTTTTGTGTGTTTTTTGTTTTAGCTTCTTTTCTTTTTGGTTAATAAGACTTTTTGGTCTTTTTATGGTTAGAATTTTTATAGAAATTCCAGGGTTTCAGTTTTAGTCACAATTTAAACTGTAAAGAGATAAAAGAGAAAAAAAATATATTATTAAAAATTTGAAAATTGTTAAAAATTGCTATTTTTCAATTTCTTATAATTGCAATTACATTTCCTATTCAATTTTTTTTCTAAAACTGAAGTTTAACTAATTTTAATTGAAAGTGTATGTGTTTCAAATTAAAAACCCATTAAACATTTTGTGTTGCAGCGCAAAACTTCAAAAGATTTTAAACTCATATCCAGTTGTTTGCTCTCAAACTTATGGCAATTATAAACTTTAATAACCCAGCAAAAAAAAAAAAAAAAATATTTCCAATATCAAATTTGCTTTCTTTTTGTTCTAATATAACTTCCAAAATGTCGTTAGGTAAGTGATCCTTGTTGAATAATCTAAAAATTCCTTAGTTATGTTCAATAGCTAAATTTGCAGTTTCATTCAGAGTTTTCACTCTATGCAAAACTGATGTGCCTACAAAATTGTATTACCAAACCTATTACAAGGAAGTTGTTTTTAAAATGAACATAATAATTTTTCAAGTTGTTTAAGAAGTGTTGGGCGGGTAAGTTTCTAAATGTTTTGCTGGGTTACTTCATTTTTCTAATTAATTTTAGTTTAAAGTTGTTCAATAACTCATTAGGAAAGCGAAAATATTTATAGCTAAAAAGAAAGCTTAACAAAAGATACAACATTTCGTGTTGCTAATCAACTCAGTCATACAATAAATGGCTCATTAGAAGAAAAATCATTTAAATGATCGTTGTGGGGTTTTGAACACCAAATGTATTAGAGCAAAAGTAAAAGTTTATCTTTGGTAAATAATAAACAATTAAAGCGTTTTAAATTGCAGTTAAAGAGGGAGATGTATGTATGAAGTAAACAAAAATAGCTATATAACGATCAATATAAAAGTGATTTTATGAATTTCTTTACTGGTTATAACAACCCTATACACTCTTTTATACATATTTATAAACATAATTATGTTAAACGTTTATTATTTATCATATTTATATGAAATCTTTTAATAGATTTTAGAATAACAATAAATAAAATTAAACCAACAACCTTGACACTGTTTTCAAATGTCTACAAAGTTCATTTTTAAATCGTTGGCAACCTAAATTTATAATTATAGCTATTGTTTGATGATGTGTGTAATTTAACACACACACACATACATATTATTCTAGATATTATCTTTAAATATTTATTTAATAATTTAATATTGTCAATAACAACATATAAGGGAAAAATCACAAAAAACTGCTTATTCATTATAAAATATTTATGGCAAATTAAACAAGTATTAAGATTTTGCTTGTTAAGAAGAAAGATATAAATAAGAAATTTAATTTCTAAATAAATTTTATATTGACAAAGATATTAAGACAATTTAGAAGAAAATTTGCTATTTATAAGGAAAGTATCGGAAAATTTGCTATTTTTAGGAAATGTTCTAATATTTTGAGTAAATTTTGTGTTTTTAGGAAATTTTCTGAAAAGTTGCTATTTTAAACGAAATCTTCTGAAAATTTTTGAATTCTGAATATTTGCTATTTTTAGTAATTTTTCTGAATATTTTCTATTTTTAGTAAATTTTCTGAAAATCTGCTATTTTTAGTAAATTATCTGAAAATCTGCTATTTTTAGTAATTTTTCTGAAAATCTTCTATTTTTAGTAAATTTTCTGAATATCTGCTATTTTGAGTCATTTGTCTGAAAATCTGCTATTTTTAGTAAATTTTCTAAAAATCTGCTATTTTTAGTAGATTTTCTGAAAATCTGCTATTTTTAGTAAATTTTCTGAAAATCTGCTATTTTTAGTAAATTTTCCAAAAAGTCTGCTATTTTTAGTAGATTTTCTGAAAATCGGCTATTTTTAGTAAATTTTCTGAAAATCTGCTGTTTTTAGTAAATTTTCTGAAAATCTGCTATTTTTAGTAAATTTTCTGAAAATATGCTATTTTTTGTAAATTTTCTGAAAATCTATTTTTAGTAAATTTTCCAGGAATTTGTTATTTTTAGTAAATTTTCTGAAAATCTGCTATTTTTAGTAAATTTTCTGAAAATCTGCTATTTTTAGTAAATTTTCTGAAAATCTTCTATTTGTAGTAAATTTTCTGAAAATCTGCTATTTTTAGTAAATTTTTTATAAATCTATTTTTAGTAAATTTTCTAAAAATCTATTTTTAGTAAATTTTCTAAAAATCTATTGTTAGTAAATTTTCTAAAAATCTATTCTTAGTAAATTTTCTAAAAATCTATTTTTAGTAAATTTTCCAAGAATTTGTTATTTTTAGCAAATTTTCCAAAAATTTTTAAAGAATTTGCTATTTTTAGAAAATTTTCCAAGAATTTGCTATTTTTAGTAAATTTTCCAAGAACTTGCTTTTTTTAGTAAATTTTCCAAGAACTTGCTTTTTTTAGCAAATTTTCCAAGGATTTGCTATTTTTAGTAAATTTTTAAAGAAATTGCTATTTTTAGTAAATTTTCCCAGAATTTCATATTTTTAGTAAATTTTCCAAAAATTTGCTATTTATAGTAAATTTTTAAAGAATTTGCTATTTTTAGTAAATTTTCCAAAAAAATTTGCTATTTTTAGTAGATTTTCCAAAAAAATTGCTATTTTTAGTAAATTTTCCAAAAATTTGCTATTTTTAGTAAATTTTCCAAGAATTTGCTTTTTTTAGTAAATTTTCCAAGAATTTGCTTTTTTTAGTAAATTTTCCAAAAAATTTGCTAATTTAGTAAATTTTCCAAAAAATTTGCTATTTTTAGTAAATTTTCCAAAAAATTTGCTATTTTTAGTAAATTTTCCAAAAAATTTGCTATTTTTAGTAAATTTTCCAGGAATTTGCTATTTTTAGTAAATGTTCCCAGAATTTGCTATTTTTAGTAAATTTTCCAAGAATTTGCTATTTTGAGTAAATTTTCAAAAAATTTTCTAATTGTATGATAATTTCCAACATTTTTTTTTTAATATGTAAACAAAAACCAGTTATTTCCAAATTTTAATATCTTCATTATATCAAACTATCAATCATATTTAAAAATATAAATAATAAACCTCTTAGCAAACTTGCTGACCAAAAGTACAACAACATCCTTAAATCAAACTATATTTTGTTCATTTTAACTAGAATTATATTAAAAATCCAACAATAATACACAAATAAGCACTTAAATATTTACCCTTCCAAAAACAACAATATAAATGCATATATGCAAATTAATACTATATATGCTAACTACTTCAGAGGTAGTAGTTATTGTGTTTAAACTCTACTCAATCAAACTAAAACTAAATAATATTTTTAAGGGATTATTACGTTTAAAGACAAAGTCAATGAAGAGTTTTGTGAAAAACAAATATCATTTTTTTTTCCTTTGCTAAAACTAAAATAAATATTAAATATGCAAAAGTTCTATATAGACTGAGCACTTTTGCTTATTTTAATAAAATGAAAAATATTACAAAAATGCTTTTTAAGCAATTGCTTAGAAACTATAAACTGTACAAGATATTTATTATTATAAATTTATAAAATATACAAAATGTATAGTTATAACGAGAAGAAAATATTACGGAATAAATTTATAATATTCAATATTTTTTAAGAAAAATATAAAAACTTTTAATTAAAAAAAATCTTTCTTTAGGTTTGTTTGTTGAAAAACTTTATAAACTAAAAGTTAAAACTAAGCAATTTACAATTTATTGTCTATTCTATATGATTGCTTGTGTATCTGAATTGGCAAATGAGGTAATAAATAGCAAATTTTAAGAAAAGTAAAGAGTAATTTTAAACTAAAATAGAAAATGTTTCTGAACTGAACTAGAACTGAACTAGAACTGAACTAGAACTGAACTAGAACTGAACTAGAAACTGAACTAGAACTGAACTAGAACTGAACAAGAACTGACTGAACTAGAACTGAAACTAGAACTGAACTAGAACTGAACTAGAACTGAACTAGAACTGAACTAGAACTGAACTAGACTGAACTAGAACTGAACTAGAACTGAACTAGAACTGAACTAGAACTGAACTAGAACTGAACTAGAACTGACTAGAACTGAACTAGAACTGAACTAGAACTGAACTAGAACTGAACTAGAACTGAACTAGAACTGAACTAGAACTGAACTAGAACTGAACTAGAACTGAACTAGAACTGAACTAGAACTGAACTAGAACTGAACTAGAACTGAACTAGAACTGAACTAGAACTGAACTAGAACTGAACTAGAACTGAACTAGAACTGAACTAGAACTGAACTAGAACTGAACTAGAACTGAACTAGAACTGAACTAGAACTGAACTAGAACTGAACTAGAACTGAACTAGAACTGAACTAGAACTGAACTAGAACTGAACTAGAACTGAACTAGAACTGAACTAGACTGAACTAGAACTGAACTAGAACTGAACTAGAACTGAACTAGAACTGAACTAGAACTGAACTAGAACTGAACTAGAACTGAACTAGAACTGAACTAGAACTGAACTAGAACTGAACTAGAACTGAACTAGAACTGAACTAGAACAGAACTAGAATTGAACTAGAACTGAAGTAGAACTGAACTAGAACTGAACTAGAACTGAACTAGAACTAGAACTGAACTAGAACTGAACTAGAACTGAACTAGAACTGAACTAGAACTGAACTAGAACTGAACTAGAACTGAACTAGAACTGAACTAGAACTGAACTAGAACTGAACTAGAACTGAACTAGAACTGAACTAGAACTGAACTAGAAC